CCTCTCTGCCCCTCCTCCTCTCTCTCCCCCTCTCTCTTTTCTTCCCCCTTTCTGCCCCACCTAGTCCACCCTACATCCCACCCCCTCATGAGGTTACAGTCTTCATATCTACACCATCCAAGGTGACCTTAAAGGAGCACTCATAGACCTGGTGGCCATCCTGGATGACCTGACAGACCCATATTCCTGCTCCTTGACCCCATTTGCCTGACCAATCCCAATTGGCCCAAATACATGAGAGTCAACTCTTCCCCCAGCTCCTCTCCATCATACTTACTATCTGGAGCCAGGAATAGCCCCGATATGGCCTTACAGGTGAAGTATTCTGGGATATATTGGACTTGCTTAGGGGAAATGTTCCTCCTGGGGTCCTGTCTCTTTATGCCAGGGGTCTCAAACCTCCGGCCCTCCAGCTGTGGTGAAACTACAAATCCCATGATGCATCTATCTCCGGGAGTCATGTCTGTGGCTGTGGGAATCTTGCAATGCCTCATGGGATTTGTAGTTCCACCACAGCTGGAGGGCCGGAGGAGGTGCGAGACCCCTGCCTTGTGCAGTCTATAAGCCTTGCTCTTACAGTCTTGTTTGAAGTCGGTTGTGGATGGTGTCGTCTCCTCAGGTTCTCCGTTGGGGGATAAGGTCTCATCGGCGTTGCAGACGGTGGAGGACGCGCTGAAGCAGTACAGCCTGGAGAAAATCTGCGTGGCCTTTAATGGCGGTAAAGATTGTACAGCGCTCCTGCACCTGTATCACGCTGCCGTTCAGAGGTGAGCACTATTCCCGTCTACACACCACACCTACCACCCCGGAGCGGAGCAGTGATGGTTCCGGGGAAGGTTTGTCATCTTTACCCATAATGCTTCCTGTTTTATTGTCTTTGAAGGCGACACCCGGAGCTCAAGGAGAAGCTGCAGGCTCTCTACATCCGCATCGTGTCACCGTTCCTGGAAATGGAACAGTTCATGCAGGACACAACCAAACGGTGAGCTAGGGGGCATGGACCGAGGATCCCACCAGATCAGGGGATGGTGCAGAGAGGGATATCATCGGTGAAATCCCCAAATCTGTCCGGCGGGTGATAACGGCAGAAAGATCCTACGGCCATGTCTCCCGACAGATCAGTGTGTACAGAGAACACAAAGTGGGGACAATGTCTAAGATAACGAAGAGGAGTATTGAGGTTGCCATCGCGTAATGCCTACTAGAAATGCTGGGTGTCATACTGATCCTCTGGCTTCAGTACTTTCGGAGTCACTGATGCAGATCAGGGATACCTGTTCAGTGTCTGAGCAAAGGCGACCCCCCCCCCATATTTAACCATTACAAGTCTCCCTTTGTGGCCAGTTTTGGTTGAGATGTTTCTCTCTCTACCCCAACCCAGATACAATCTTCAGATCTACACCATCCAGGGTGACATTAAACAAGCCCTCATGGACCTGAAGGCGGAGCAGCCTCAGCTGGAGGCCATCCTGATGGGGACCCGTCGCACAGACCCGTACTCCTGCTCCCTGATCCCCATGTGCCTGACCGATCCCGGCTGGCCCAAATACATGAGAGTCAACCCTCTGCTGGTGAGTGTGAAAGCTCCAATCACGTAATTCCTTCACTAGGGGGATGCGGGACTCACCACTGTCTGTTTTCCAGGACTGGTCGTACCGCGACATCTGGGAGTTCCTGCGCACAATCTACATTCCGTACTGCATTCTGTATGACAAAGGGTGAGGGGACGTCCGTCCATCTGTTTGCATATGTCTCTCTGTCCACCCATCCTTTTATCTGTCCATTCGTCTGCCTGCTTGTTCATCTATCTTCCTGCCTGTCCATCCATCTGTCTGCCTGTCTGTCTGCCTATCCACCTTTTTGTCTGCTTTTTCATCTATCTTTCTGCCTGTCCATCCATCTGCCTTTCTATCCATCCGTCTGTCTGCCTGCCTGCCTGTCTATTTATTTATCTGTCTGTCCATCCATCTGCCTGCCTGTCCATCCGCCTATCTTCCTGTCCGTCTGCCAGGCTGTCCATCAGTCTGCCTGCCTATTCACCTATCTGTCTGCTTTTTCATCTATCTTTCTGCCTGTCCATCCATCTGCCTGTCCATCTGCCTCTCTATCCATCCGTCTGTCTGCCTGCCTGTCTATTTATCTGTCTGTCCATCCATCTGCCTGCCTGTCCATCCGCCTGTCTGCCTGTCTGTCCATTCATCTGCCTGCCTGACCATCCTTCTATCTATCTGTCTGTCCATCCATCTGCCTGTCTATCCATCCGTCTGCCTGCCTGTCCATCCTCTTGTCTATCTGTCTGCCAGTCTGTCCTTCCATCTGCCTGCCTGTCCATTCGTCTGTCTATCTTCCTTCCTGTCTATATATCGGTATGGCTGCCTCTGCATCTATCTCTTTGTCTGTCCATTTCTCTGTCTGCCTCCATCTACCTGTATATCTGTCTGTCCAGCCATCTTTCTGTCTATCCACCTATCTGCCTGTTCATTTATCAATCTCTCTTTCTATCCATCTGTCTGTCCATCTCCCTAATCATTTACTTGTCCATTCCTCTGTCTGTCCATCTATCTATCTGTCTCTCTTTCTATCCATTCATCTTCCTGCCCTTCCGTCTGTTTGACCCACCCCTCCGTCTGCCTGTCCAGCCATCACTCTTTGTCTGTCTGTCTTGGGTTGTAATTCACCTCTCTACACCTGTGTCGCAGTTACACGTCTCTGGGCAGCATGGAGAACACTATAAAGAACCCGGCCCTTCGATACACAACGCCGGCCGGGGTGGAGAGCTTTCGCCCTGCGTACATGCTGGAGAACGAGGAAGAGGAACGCACGTCCAGGAAGTAAAGTATCCCATGTGTCTGTCCGTCCCCATGTGCTCCCCCTCCGGTGCCGTCCATCCGTTCCGTTCCGTGTGAGACCTGAAACCGTTGGGACAATGGGGGTCATTCTCCGGGACGCAGAGCTCGTACCACCATTTATGTACAATCAGTATGACGATGGGGGGGTCATTGACTGGGACGCAGAGCTCGTACCACCATTAATGTATAGACTATGCAGTGGTGTCACTTATCAGTGTATCTGTCCCACACAGCGTACCCCTTAGGACCACAGATATCGGGGTTAGAGAATTGCCAGCACTGCAGAGAATAATTGTGACGGGGCAACTGCAATGTGGCATTGAGTAGTCCCTATTGGTCGAGGATTCTGGGATTTCTCGGCATCACTACATTGCTGGAATGTCGCTAAGATGTGTACAGCCATTCTGTTTATTAGTTTGTATCACTTGCCTCCTTACCGTCCCTAAAATATTGGTGACCACTTGATGCCACAGTAAAGGTCTGCCCCTGGCGATTATCTGCAGTGCAGCAGTTGGGGACTTATCACATAACACAGTCACATCGCTTCTTGGATTCGCATCCCACACTCCTCTCTATTTAATGCCATAGTACCGGCCGACCGCATATATGTGGCAGCACAGAGGTGGGCTTTATGCCGTGCTGGCACATATATGTGTTCAGCCAGTGTCTGTATTTTGTGATGGGAGCACACTCAATTGCAAGCCCCAGCACTGTGACTAACAGCTTGCAGTCACTTAGTGATGATCCAGAGCCAGCCAGCATCACATGATCACTGTGGCAGCCAATCACATGATCGGGAAGGCCAGGAAACGACTCAGGTGTTTAGATTTCCTCAAAGACCCTGTGCGGAGGAGTTTAAGGAGGTTGTTGAAGAGTGATCGGTTCCAAACTTGTTGTGGCATCGGCCTATTCACACTGCAAGAACAATAGTTTATGGGCCGGAATATAATTTTTTGCAGCTACAGCATGTTCCCCGTGGGTCCCCTCTGCTCCGTGTCCCACTGGGTCCCCCTTCTGCTCCGTGTCCCACTGGGTCCCCCTTCTGCTCCGTGTCCCACTGGGTCCCCCTTCTGCTCCGTGTCCCACTGGGTCCCCCTTCTGCTCTGTGTCCCACTGGGTCCCCCTTCTGCTCCGTGTCCCACTGGGTCCCCCTTCTGCTCCGTGCCACACGTTATAAGTTGGTGAATTGAGCTGAATCCACTTTTAGTGTCTTCTGACCCCCGTTTTGTTTTGTTGAGTGTCTTCCTGAATCCTGATTGGCTGTCCCCGCACTCAATGCTCTCTCTTGTCTTGCCAGTCTGCAGGTCTCGTTGGGCTGTGGTTTGGAGTAGATGCCACCTCGAACCTTTGTGCCACAGCTGATGCCATTGAAAGCGGGGGGGAGGGTGGAGGTTAATAGGAGCAAAGGATCAGATTTGCTGTGTTTGTAGTAGAGGCTACGTTTTATAACTTCACTTTAATATCCTGTGTGAGAGAGCCGTTCCTGGGTCCCCAACCCCCTGCCAGGGCCCCACTGGTGTCAGCGTATTGTGGCCCTGCCATGTCAGCGAATGTCTCAGCTGAACATCAGCCGACCTGCAGGACTCAGTCACGGGGGCCCTGGCATGCCTGTTCCACCTCTGTGACTGTTCTGTTATGAAAGGGTTAAGCATTGTGCACCCGTCCTGGTGGTGGGGGGAACCTTCTGTTTGTGCGCCAGGCCCGTCTGCTTCACCCGCTTGTTCCGGCAATGACAAAAGCACAGATTGCAGAATGTTCCGGCTCTGCTCCAGCACAAAGAGCCGGGTGTCCCCCCTCCCACACGCCCAGGGCCTCGTGGTCCGTGCCGGCAGCTGATAAATTGCCCCATCGGGCACCCGCTTCCACAACATGATCCCAATAAGCAGACACGGTGCCCTCGCTGTGCCAAGCCGAACCGCGACAGCCTATGGTCCCCTTCGCCCCTTTCTCCATGGGACAAGTGCTGAAGAACATGTCTCTGCCATTCCCGAGGTCCAAGAACTGGATGGGCATGAATATCGGCCACTCGTTCCTGCAGAGCATGAAGGAGTGCCTGTACTTCCTGCTGTGCTGCTGGTGCATCAAGGAGCTGCTGGACTAGTGACCCTGCGGCCTAGGGGGGGAGCCGGAATGGTTTCTAACAGGGGGGGGCCTTCTGTAGTCTCCACCATCTAGCAGGGCCACCTGTAGCCTCCAGTACGTGTGAAGATATGCAGATGCTGAAACGTGTTTTATGTGACACAAAATCCGAAAGCCACGGGGGAGCTCACCCAGTGCCAGCAGTGACCGGACACCATTATATGACCACATGTGGGGGGTCACATCTGAAATGCCGTGTTTATGTTGCGAGCTTGGACTACTGCGCTCCCCCCAGCGGCACTCCCGCCGACAAAGAGTGCCCCCTCCCTGGACAAGAACTGACTGCGAGTGACTGACGTGACTGTAAATTTGCTGTGCGTGGTCGATCAGTCAGCGTCGGCGAAGAGATATTGCCCTGACTCCATGCAGATATGAGGGAAGTGAGAACGGAGGAAGCTCTCGGTAGAGGGCGAGCCGTCCTCCGAGTTTTTATCTACTGAGATGCAGTGATAATAAAATCCTGTTATTATACGGAGTGTGTCCCGTGTCTATGTGATGAGACAATAGGTGGCTTGGTAGAGCGCAGAAGCCAAGACACGAAGGGTATGGCATTGGAGCGACATTTTAGAGGCAGCTCCCGGTCAGCTTGGGGGTCCCCGGGGTGGTCTAAGACGTGTGCGGAGAGTGATCGTGCCACTGTTGTAGTATAAGGGCTGTAAACACACTTCAGGGGCTCAATGATCCCCCTTCATCAGGGCTCAGATGCTGATAGTAAATGGGTAGACCTGAATGGGATAAATCATATCCTTTATATTACAATCTGCTGTCCTTATTCCCTATTAGCATCCAAGCCCTGATGAAGTGAGAGCGTTCAGACTCCACAAAACGCATTGGCCCCCTGTCACTCATAATACTGTACATGTCTTATACTTGCGGCACGCTCTGCACACCGCTGTGTCACTATCATAGTTTAATCGGGAAAAAGGAGGTTGTTCCCTGGAGTTCTGATATACCTTGAATATCCCCTTTAATGTTTAATCAATCATTTAAATAGGTCATCAAGGTCATATAACCAAAAGTAGTCAGAACAAAAAGGAGGGTAACAGTGTTTTAACAGAGAGAACACTGTAAAAGAAGGTTATTAAATTGACCGAGACCTATAGTTTTATAAAAATATAAACTTTATTGATTACAAGATAATATATTCGGTGTCTATTAGCTCACTTCTCAAATTACTAGTAAAAGAACAACGTTGTTCATGACACTCATACTCCCATTCATTCATACAAACTAAGCGTTCCCACAAACTTGGCAGTGTTTGATTTCTTGACAGTTTCCTAAAGAAGGAATTTTCTTAATTTTACACCTGTTTAATTTTACAACTTTCACGGAATAACCATGCGCTGGTGACAGTACTGTTAAAACCGAAAAAGAACCCACGCATTTAAAAGGACGAGAGGGGTAAGAGACGACGAAAAGTGAGTACGGTAGACAATTATATAATAATAACTGGTCCCGCACTAGTCTCCCCCTTAAATTCACTGTACACCAGGAGGAACCATATATGATGAAAAAAAATTTGGAGATTCTTCAGGCATGAATGAATAAGAGGTGTTGTTGTTATATTAAGACCAATATATACACAAAACACTCCAGTGGATGATATGGTCTTAAAGAAACCACCATGAAACGAAGAGACTTCCTTATTAACTGAAACCAATAAGTAACCCATATCAACCATACTATCGGGGTAAAGAATACGTAGACTGACTAGAGTTATATTTGGAAGTAAATCGGAAAATATAGATCTTCCTCTCCGACGTCCACCTCTTACATCATCGTTAAGCAGCAACATAATTATGGAGTAGAAACAGGTGTAAAATTAAGAAAATTCCTTCTTTAGGAAACTGTCAAGAAATCAAACACTGCCAAGTTTGTGGGAACGCTTAGTTTGTATGAATGAATGGGAGTATGAGTGTCATGAACAACGTTGTTCTTTTACTAGTAATTTGAGAAGTGAGCTAATAGACACCGAATATATTATCTTATAATCAATAAAGTTTATATTTTTATAAAACTATAGGTCTCGGTCAATTTAATAACCTTCTTTTACAGTGTTCTCTCTGTTAAAACACTGTTACCCTCCTTTTTGTTCACTATCATAGTTTCTTTGTTAAAATGTGTCCAAAGCCCAAACTGTTTTGTAGGTGGAGTAGGGAAATGTTGAAATCCTTTCTGGGGGGTTGGTGGGTCCATATGGGAAGACTTCACTTCCTGTCCCGGGGACACAACAAATTAAAGGAAATTTCTCCCAAGTGAAGAGACAATTATTGCCGGAGTAGATCTCCCCACTAAAAGATTCCACTTGTAGTCCTTTTCTGGTGACAACTGTATAGATTCATATTTCCTGTCACTTCCTGCCTCAGTGACACAAATACAGAGGGTGAGTCTTTCCAGGGGTGGGGGACCGTAATCCTTCCACACTCCATCATTAACCCCTTCATGATTGAGGCCCTTTTTTCATTTTTTGCACCCATGTTATATTCCACATTTTAGGCCTGAAAATGACATAAAACCCCCCAATATTATATATTTTCTGAATGCCAAGACCCTATAGAATAAAATGGTGGTAGTTGAAAATTTTTATGTTGCGCAATATTAGCGCAACTCCTTATTAAACCCCAAAATTTAGTGACAAATTTAATTAAATGCCCCAAAACACAACAAATTACCCATTTTTTTAATGAAATATAAAAGATGAGGTTACAACGAGTAAAACGATACCCAACATGCCCAGTTTACAGATTGCGTGCGACCGTGAAACGGCGAAAAACTGCAGTACCCCAAAAAGTCAATAAAA